TCACCGCGGCCGCTATGCACGACGGTCGTCCAGGGCATAGCAGGCGCGGCACTTTCTCGACACCATAGAGGGTGCGCAGGGGGTGGTCCCTCACCGCGGCAGCTGGCTGGCTCGAATCTGTCTTCGACGGAGGGTAGAAGACTAGGAAGAGGGAGGAGGTTCAAGCAATATGGCGTGGGATGACACATAGGGGAACATTCGCGACGAGGGCCGAGAACGCAGAATTGCGCATATATTATAAACTTAAGCAAGCACACAAGATTTAAGTTAAGTACGTAGGGTTCCTCGGTAGCGTAATTGTTTCTACAGCGCGCGGACGCGCGCGAGCGCGGTCGCGGGTGGAGAGCCCAGGCTCAGGGCCATGGAAGCAGCGCTGAAAAGGGAAAGGGCAGCTCACGCCCATGCCGAGAAGAGGCGCGCGACCCCCGCCCACCTCCAGGACTCCACGGGCCCCCCAGTGGAGACGAGGCCGTGGCCCTGCTTTTTGACGAGTGGCGCCTTATGTGGACGCCAGCTGGGCGCGCGGCGATGAAACTGTCGCCCTGGGGCATGGGCGATAGCGAGCTTCCCCCCGCTCCCCTTGGAGGCCTTGCAGGCGCGCTGTAAGTCCGGCCATGAATGAGCCGGGATGGGCTGGGACCAGTCTCGCCCTTAAGGGTGCTTGAGATCACCCGCGCCTTCGAGGACGGCCCGTCGCGGATGATAGAGCTCGTCGCCAACGTAGTGCCCACCCCGAGACCTGAAGGGGGGGCGAGGCTGATTGGGCTGCTGACCCTTTGCGCGAAAACCTGGAGTGAGCTCAGACAACCGCTGCGTCGGGCGCGGGAACGGGATCACAGCGCGGAGCTCTTTTGGGGGAGCGGTCCGACGACCGCGCACGAGACGGGCGGTTGGGCCCTCGACTTCCTTGGTGCGTTCTGTTGCGTGATGGTCGCGGATAGTGCCGCGGTTCTCTTCGGTTCGAAGCAGTTTCGCACGCGCGTTCGACATGTTGACCTGTTTGCTGCTGGCCGACAGTTCGGGTTCAATCTGAAGTTTCTGAGGGGCCTGGTATCGATCTATTTGGGGTTCCGAATGCTGGTCTGCGATGGGGCTATCTTAGAACCTCTGCAGGCCTCGTGGGCGCGGGCACTCCGCGGCCGCGACACTTGCCGAACTTCTTTCGATCGGCGCCCTCAGCGCAGCTGCCCATGGCAAGCCCCTGCTGCAGGTGCGCGGTGCCGTCGACGACGTTGCGCTGCAGCGCTTCGTCCCCCTCGAGCCGGTGGCCGACCAGCTCGCGGCTGCAGTGGATCACGCTCGCAGTTTTTCGGCTAGCTCGAGCCCCCCGTGAACGTGCCCAAGTGCAAGTAGTTGGCCAGCAGTCCAGAGCTGGCGGCCATGCTCGAGAGCATCAGGAGAAGTCGACCCGCCAGGGACGTTGGGGCGGACGCAAATCTCGGAACCTCGAGACGGGCGGGGGTCACTCGGGCACGCTGAAGCACGGCCGCTAGGTCGTTGAGGCGCCACGTCAACCTGCGAGAAGCAGGTGCGGACGCGAAGTGGGTCCAGCGGGGGGGGCCCGACGGCCTTGGCCTTATGGGGGGCGTGCGTCGCGTCGCCCCACGGGCCGAGAGTCTCGACGTGCAGGAACTTAGGCAGATCACCCATGGGGGCTTCAGTTGGGCCCCTCATGCATTCGTTTCGCTATGGTCCTCGAGTGGATGCTTAGGTCATCGCCATCAGCCAGGCAATGTTCCGATGGGGCACGGCGCGCAGGGGGGGTGCCCAAAGCCCCAGGTCCTCGCCGAGACATGGCCCGTCGGCGGCCGGGGCATCGCCTGCCGATGTGCGCAGTACCTTCATGAGCTGAAATGTTCCCTCGGCCCAGCCCTCAGGAGCGATCTCCGTGAAGCATTGAATATTGCGCGTCTGGGCCCAGCAGCGGCGGGGTGGCTTGCCGAGGCAGGAGTGAAGCGTAAGCCTGACCGACGGGCGCTCAAGGGTGATGTCGACTCCGTCGGCGCAGCCTGTGTTCTGGCGCAGTTTCGACCTTTCCCTGCACGGGGCCGCGCCCAGCTGGTCGCCGCGCCAGCGGCGGGCCCTGAGGGACCAGGTCCGATTGCGTAAACATGGGCATCCGGATTCGGCCGCGCGCTTTGCGCGGCCGCCCTGATGGGCCCCCGCGGCGCCAGCGATGTGAATGCGATGCGCGCACGGGAAAAACAGCGCGTCTCCCGAGCTGCTCCGCGGGGCCCCTTAAGGCGTGGAGCTTCGATGCTGGTGGGCATTTTGCGCGGGGGGTCTCCCCCGACCCCGGCTCAGTTTTCGCTTTTGCTTCGGGGGGGCCGGGGCCGGCGGGCGGCGTTCCGGCGCCGGCAGCCTGCGCTGGGCCACCTCGCAGGTTATTTTTTGGGGGGGCGGGGCGGCCCTCTCCCCGAGTTCCACGCTGCTGCCCGGAGCGGGATTGTCCACAGCGACGCGCGATCGGTTTGGCCGGGTGCTCGCGGCGGCGCATGGCCCGGCGCCTCGGGGCCGGGCCCCGCATCAGTCTTCGAGGGGGGGCAAGACTTTGCCGTGGGCATGGTCTCCCAGGCGGCGGTTCCTTCTTTCGGCTTACACATCGATTGCAAGGGCACAGCGTCAACTCTTCGGGCGGGCCCAGGCGCGGGGGCTGGCGCGACCAACCCGCAGGCCCGCGCGCGGGGCCCTTTTGGGGCGTCTCTTTTTTGCCCGGCGACTTCTCGGCCCACAAACTCAGGCCCATTGCAGCACGACCGATGTGCTCAATGATAGCACCGCACTATGGGAGAAGCGCGGCAACGACGCCGCGGGCGAATTCGCAGAGCGCGGCGCCGCCCTCCACGGAGCGGAGGAGAGCGATCATCACCCCTGGCGAGGCCTGGTCGAGGGCCCCTGCGAGGCGGGGCGGCGGAGCGAGCAGCTGCGCGGGTTGGCGGGGGGCGGGGGTGGCCTCCAGGACCATGCCGATCTCGTGGAGCTGCGCGCAGCAAGCCGAGTGGGCGCCGAGGAGGCGCCGTCGGTCATGCGGCAACATGTCCCGCCCGATCCAGACCTTGCGTCGATGGACGAGGAGGTTTGCCCGCCTCGGCCGCCCGCGGATGGGTTCGAGGCCTTTCGTGATGTGGGCGATCGTTTCTACGGCCACCCGTTGCTGCATGCGCGCGCCTGGTCTTGGTCGCAGCGATGGCAACGCCATGATTGTTGCTGTGATTGCGGGGCCTTCTTCAGCGCGGAGCGACCCTCTCGTGCCCTTCTCCGCCCGTGTCTCGGCGGGCACGCGGCCTCGGGCTTGAGAGCGCAATTCCAGCGGATCAAGGCTGGCAAGTGCCATAGTTTCAAGGAGGGTCTGGGGGACCTGCGCCCAGAGACCCCCGAGGGCGTCCCGCGCGCGGTGCGCGTGCGAATGGCTGCCCTCGTTGGCTCTAGCGAGCCTGCCCCCAGCGCCTCGGCTCAGGGCGCGGGGTGGCTGGGCTTCGGGGGGCCGGTGGCTTTGGGGGGGAGCGACGTTCCGAACTGAGGTGCTGAGCGCTTTCTGCTTGGAGGAGGGAGAGCCCCCCGCCATCCGCGCGGAGGGAGCGAGTTTCCCCAAGAAGGAAGCCGAGGATGGGGCCAGAAGAATTCGACTAGACGTGAGAGTGACCTTTCGCCGGAGTGACCTTTGGCGCGGGCACACAAGAGCCTCCGGATGGCTGAGAACGAAGCAGTGGCAGCTGCCTGCGCGCCCATGTTTGGCCCCCCCGCGGCCCCCCAAAAGTCGCGCACCAAAGGTCGCTTTTACCCAGGGTTATTCCTGCGTGTAGCCGAGTGTTTCGCAGCGAATGGAAAGCCAGAGCGCCCCAGGAATGCTCGGGTGGTTCTGGGAGGGGGCCACGCACGAACCCCGCCCCTACCCCCCAGGACTTCTGAGGGGGAGGGTGGGGTTCACTTCGTCCGGGAGCTCCCGAGCGAAGCGAACCCCACCCTCACCCCAGAGATCGTGGGGGGCAGGGGCGGGGTTCGCACGTGGCCCCCTATCTGGGATTCTTTGCGCATAGCCGAAGAACCCCTAGACGATCTCGGGGAGGCCACCGTCGCGGGCCTCCGACGGCCGGGTTGGCGCGGCCGGACCGAGCCCAGCTTCGGGCCGCCTGCGCACCTCATCTCCTCCCTCGCTTCGTCTCGTCGTCTTCGTCGCTCCGCCATCCCTCAGGAGGGGAATAACACACTGACACAATTGAATCGCTGATTCCCCAGGAAGGAAGGGGAACTATGGGACGTGGGGGGGGGGGGAGACGAAAACCCCAAAAGATATGCGAAAATATTGGAAAACGTGTGTTGGATCGCTTCGCTCATTCCGCCGGCCCTGGAGCGCTATTTGGGGCCTCTTGGGGCCGTCTTGGGGGCCTCTTGGGAGCTTCTTGGGAGCGTCTTGGGGCTCCTTGGCGGCGTCTTGAGCTCCCCTGGGGCCTCTCAGGGGGCTCTTGGGGGCCCCTTGCAGCCACCCCCTCGGAGGCCACGATCCTCGTGAGGGGTGGCGAAAAATAGCCCCCCCCTGGGGATCGGCCAGGACCAGGCCGGGGGTCAGCCGGGGTACTTTTCGTCGGGGGGCCCCCATGGGCCGCCCCGCGCGCGCGAACTAGAAATATTGTTCAGTAGTTACCAGAGATCATAGCACGCCTCTGGCCCACTGGGCCAGCGAATTTGTGTGTATTTACTTATGTGTCCTGGGGCCCCTTCAGCCTCGTCTCGTCATCTTCGTCGTCCCGCCATCCCGTCATCCCTCGTCCTCCTTCGTTCACCCCTGGTGCTTCTCCATCCTCCCCTTCATCGCTGGCCGCGGGGATGGCGAAGGTCTTCGCTCCCTCCTTCCTCCTCCCAGCGGGGTCCTCGCTCGTCCCTCCTCTCCTCCCTCCTCCCTGCCCCCCCCCGTCCTCCCTCGCTTCTTCCAGTCGTTTTTATCATCCCTCATCTTTCTTCGTCTCCCGTCGTCTGCTTGCGCCCCTCGCCCGCCTGGCCAGGTGGAGCTGTCTCACGACCACAAGCCGAACGATGAGACAGAGAGGAACAGCGGCGGCGTCAAGCTCACGTCGTCATCGTCGTCGTCGGCCTCGTCGTCGATCTCGTTGTCGGCCTCGTCCTCATCGGCCTCGTTTTCGTCGTCGTCGTCGTCGGCCTCGTCGTCGTCGGCCTCGTCCTCATCGGCCTCGTTTTCGTCGTCGTCGTCGTCGGCCTCGCCGTCGTCGTCGTCGTCGTCGGCGTCGGCGGCGGCGTCGGCGTCGGCCTCGTCGTCGTCGTCGGCGTCGCCCACGCGCGAACGCACGCTCACACAGCAGGCGCTGCGCGACGGGCGGCGTGCGCTCGCCCTCGGCGGGAGCGGGCGGGGGGCCGGCGGAGGTTGGCGGAGGCATCGAGCGGCTGCGGGCCTCCCGGGGCGACGGTCGAGGAGTTTCTTCGGTCTCTCCGTCGCTTAGGAGTAAGAGGAGGGAGGAGGGAGGGAGGGAGGGAGGGAGGAAGGAGGAAAGAAGGAGGGAGGAGGAGGAGGAAGACAAAGAAGAGGAGGAGGAGGAGGAGGAGGGAGGAGGGACGAGCAACTGCGAGCTTGGTCGCGGCACCACTCGGTCTGTTCCCCGGCGGCGAGCGAGGGGGGAAAGTGAAAAAGAGAAGGCCTTCTCAGACAGCTCGGAAGTCCCCCGGCCTTCTGAGGAGTTTTCTGAGCCTTCTCCGAAGCCAAACAAAACCTTCTCAGAAGGCGCGAGGGCTGCTGAAAAATCCCGCCGCCTTCTGAGAAGGCCTTCTCCTTCTCATTTCCCCCCTTCGCTCGCCGCTAGCTCCCAGGGCGACGGTCGAGGAGCTTGGTCGCGTCACCACTCGGCCTCGTCGACCACCAAGTGCCCATTCGGTGGTCGCGTTTGGACCACCAGATGGGCACCTGCTGCCCGCTTGGTGGTCCAAAAGCGTGTCTTCTCGGGTTCCCGTGGTCTCCACCGGGTCTTCTCGGGTTCCCGTGGTCCCCGCGGCGACGGCCGAAGATCCTGTTCTCTGGGAGGGCCCGAGCCCAGTCTGCTCTGCCCTCATGCCTTGGGAGGCCCGCCGCCCGACCGTCCTCCTCCTCCTCCTCCTCTTCCCCCTCTCCTCCTCCTCCTCCTCCTCCTCCTCCTCCTCCTCCTCCTCCTCCTCCTCCTCCTCCTCCTCCTCCTCCTCCTCCTCCTCCTCTTCCCCCTCCTCCTCCTCCTCCTCCTCCTCCTCCTCCGTAGCCATGTTGGCTCAAGCCATTTTGGCTCAAGGCCAAAATGGTGACCATTCCACTGCCGATCTAGGGTAGGCTCCCAAAGCTTTCAGTGCTCTTCATATTTGCAGCCACACCCACGGGCGAGCTGCCGCCCACTGCAGCTACACTCAGGGGCGAGCTGCCGCCCATTGCAGCTACACCCAGGGGCGAGCTGCCGCCCATTCCATTTCTCTCCCTCGCGTGGCTCGCGAGAGCTCCTTGGGAAGCAGTGGGACGATGGCCGCCGCGGACCGCGGTGGAGGGACTGCCCCTGCTGACGGAGGAGCTGCCGCCAACGGCGGCACCAGGCCGCGACGTGCACGCCCTGAAGGTGGACGAGGATCGCCAGCTAGGTTCGCTGGCCAGTACACGGTCTGCAAGCAGTGGCGATACCGATGGACGTGGAAGGACAAGTCCGAGTGCTTCTACTGTGGCAAACTGCTGGCCCCATCACCAGCCGAGCACCGCCAGCCTGCTGGGGCGTGGGCAGGAGTGAGCAAGCCACCGCCGTGGAAGGAGCAGCCAGTGGCCGTCGCCCCGACCAGGGACGCCATCATCGCCACGCTCAGCACGCTCCTCAGCGACACCAAGCACGCCGAACTCGTCGGCAACCTCAAGGACGCCCTCCAGCAGCCCGACAAGCCGCAGCCTGCCCGCACGGCAGAGCAGGTGCTCCAGTCGGCGTTGTCAGTCCTCACAGACAGGGAGAAGAAGTTCAAGCAGTCGGTCGACGACGTCGAGGCCGCCAAGCAGTGGCACGACGACGCCGTGGCCAAACAGGAGCAAGCCGCCCTGGACCTCGTCCAGGCACAGAACGCATGCGCCAAGGCGCAAGCGGACCACAGCGCCAAGCTTGCTGGAGCTGCACGCGGAGCACCACCAGCGGGATCCCAGGAAGCCTTCAAGGTCGACAGCTCGATGCGGGACGACCTCTCCATCTACGACGAGGGCACCCGAGCCCAGATGGAACAGTGGAAGCAAGAGTTTGACCAGCGCCTGGCCGAGCTCAACAATGGTCAAGAGAAAGCACGGGAACTCCTACGCCAAGCCAAGGAGTCCACTACCAACCCAGCGAAGCGGAAGAAGCCGAGTGGGGAGGAACCAGCTGCTCAGCAACCTCATCCTGAACCCGCTCCCGCTTCACCAGAGGAACACCAGCCAGCGGCCGCGCATGGAGGACAGGCACAACCTGGCACGCCAGGAGGATCTGCCGCCCCACCTGCCGAGCCACGCCCGCCTGGAGGGGCCGCCCCTGCTACCGACGAGCCCTCCGAGGAGGACCGCAAGGCCGCCGCCGAGCTCATCGCCACCACCACGAGGGCAGGGCCAGGGAGCTGGCCCACGCAGCTAAGGGCGTGGGCAAGGGCGCCACCATGGCGCCAGCGGCAGCAGCAGGAGCCCCACCGTCGCTGGGGTAGCCGCAAGCGGCCGCAGCGGCTGAGGGGGCATGGGAACCGCGCCAGTGGGCTCCCCACGGCAGGTGCACCCGCCCCAGA